ATATTTGAGTAAAACAGCAATGGCGACTAATGATGAAGCAAAATTTCTTGGAGCACAACAAGAACTAAAATTAGGAGGAATGGTGACTTACCAGAGAAAAGAAGCCGATGTTGAGATCGCCGAAGTCAGAAGAACGACGGCAGCAGAACAAATTGGCAAGAACCTCACCGGAGGAAGTGGACGGAGCAAGTTGCAGAACTTTGGAAGCTTGAACAATGGAGGGTTTAGAGGAAAAGGCTAGAGAGAGAGAGAGAGCTTCTGAAACAATGTAAAGTGGAAAGACGGGGGAAAGAAACAAGTTTTGTCAAAACTTGAAACGGCGGCAAAAAAGGGCAATTAATGCGCCTGGAACAACGAATGCGCCAGACGGCGCATGTAAGCAGAATTTGACTTACAAGCGCGTAACAAGTACGATCCAGTAAGGGGAAGGCATGTGGCTTAAACGGTTGAGTTATTATGTATAATAGCTCATACGCATGAAGAAGCTCTTGGAATTCTTAATCTTTAAAAAGACATGTCGGCCTATAATGATGATCTCGGCTGAAGTCGACGAACTAGCAGGAAGTACCGATATAGGTTCCATCACCTCAGAATGCCAAGGTAATAGAACCTAGGGGGCAGTTGTGGGGATACATTTTTAGAGTACCAACACGTGGCCAAGGTGATACCGACGTGTCAACCGAGGTGCCACGTGTCCGGGTCATGACGCCAAGGTGATCTCGGCAAGGCCGAGGTTATCTCTGAAGATATCGGAATCCGAGATAAGCAGATAAGGCACAAGAGTCCTAGAACAAGGAAGGACTTTAGCATGGATAAGGATAACACTCTTAGAAAGTTTATCTTTATCTCTTGGAGAGTCCAGGATAAGCACTGAGCAGAAGTCCATTGAAGCTAGGCTTCTATAGGGATCAGGATTGAGGTAACTATAAAAGAAAGGCACCCCCGATGGGTCTAAGGTACGCAATTTGTATTCTGAACAGTGAGTTTAACACTATTGATTATGTTTGAGAGATATACTGACTTGATCGTCGAAGTGCCCCCGCGTGGACGAACCACCGCCGGAATATTCTCTTTTTGTTGCAGGTCAGACAGGTGCTATCTATTATGCCGGTGCTCTTCAGCTGAATAATAAGTTGATAGTGTGATCGGAAATTCACTCACATAATTAATTTCTGAATTAAAAATAAAAAATAAAAACTAAATAGGTTAAAGTCCCTCTTAAAAAGTCTTTAATACCATTTGCTTGGTTTCATTTTTCCAAAAACACTTTTCAGAAAATTTTATTTTTTTGTTTTTCGTATTTTTTTTGTTTTTACTGATTTTTTTTTATTTTTATATTTTAAGCAATTTGTTTTACTTTTTAGACATACTTAACATAAATATACTTAAAAAGTAAAAAATTTGTGAAAAAACCTTTTAAAAATTTACCAAATACCAAAAAAAAAAAAAAATACGGATTAAAAATTCAAAAAATATTTTTAAAATTGAGTACATTTTTTTGTGTTTTTATATATTTATTAATTTTTTAAATATTTTTTCATAATTTTTTTACTTTTTAGATACATCTAAATAAGGTATATCTAAAAAAGCAAAAAAAAAATGTTTAAAATTTTAAAATATTCACTAAAAACACGAAAACCAAAAAATTTAATTTTCAAAAAATTTAATTAAAAAAATTCAAACCAAACACCCTGCTTATTCCATATACTTCTAGAAACAAAACTTCACACCACCTCCATGCTCACATGCTCACATCACATGCATGGCACAAAAAAATTTGGTCTCTTTTTTTATTGAATATTTTTTTAATTTGATATATATAATTTAGAATTTTAGAATCTAGAAGAATCTAAAACCTTTGAAAAGTTTAACAAAAAAATTAAAAATTCAATAAAATAAAATAAAAATACTAACTTAAAAACTATGTCAACTGTCATTTATTGTCAACACTAATTGAAGGTGCAGCTCAAAGGGGTTGTTCAGGTGACTAGATGGACACGCATGAGGTAGGTACTTGGAGTTGTTTGGGATTTTATTTAGTCAAGTTTGGCATGTCTTGAAAAAGATAAAAAGTTAAAAAATCACTATCTTATTTAAGTCACATTATCTTATTTAAGTCACATCACCTCTCTAATACATCACTTCAAACCCAACCCAAGCCCAACTCATATTTCATAAAAAGTCAAAAAGTGCACTTATTTAGATCATCTCAAACAACCCCTTAATATCCCCCAAAAGCGAAGTGAAGCAAACTACACATACACACTAAAGATAAAAATAATTAAATTTTATATGATTCGATACAAATTGTCTATAGTTATTGGAGAGAAATTTCACTAAATAAAATAAGCAGTCGTAATAGAGGCTTCGAATTCAAGCTCTCGAATTTGGCTCGAATGCCGGGTTTTTTTTTTGGGGGGGGGGGCTGCGGTGTTAGTTAGTTTAGTTTTTTTGTTTTTTTTTAGAAGTCTAATATAAAATATTAGCATTTCGCATCAACTCATCATATAAAATTATATGAATTAACAAAATTTAATCAACAGTTTAATTGATCAGTCAATTTTATCATTTAATCAGTCTAATTTAATTGACTGATTAGTTAAACTGTTGGTTAAAATTCGTTAATTCCATATAATTTTGTACGATGAGTTAGTACAGGATGTCTAATTTTTTGACACACCCCTACACATAACCACCTTTAAAAAAAAAAAAAACCAACACAGCCTAACAAATAAAATTAAATTAAATTAAAAAAAAATTTGATCAGTCAATTTTATTATCCAATCAGTCCCAACCCAACTCACTTACAAAATGTCTAATTTTTTAGCACACCCTATACATAAAAAAAAAAAAAAAAACCAAACTAACACAACTTTGGAAAAAATAAACAAAAAAAAAAAAAAAAAAAAGCAAATTCGAGCCTCGAATTCGATGCCTGAATCATTAATCTAAAACAAAATCACTATCCAAATTCCATTACATCTCTATTTTTCTCCCACTGCTGCTCTCTCACCAAAATCAATAGTCTTGAACTATTACAAAAAAAATCTTAGATTATCAAAACTTACACATTAGATTTCTCAACAGATTTTAGACTCTACTATTCTAAGTTAAACACACGTATAAACTACACTATTAATTGTGTAAGACTCGCATATATCACATGGGTGGACTAATCTTAACAGGAGTCGCTCAGGCAAACTTCACCTACACGATCCGTGGCTGTGTATGAGCCTCACTTTAGGGGGCTTCACCTAGGGATCAGGGAAACACTAGGGCCTAGGCATCAAGGTGGTCCGGCAGCGGCATGTGACAACCATCGTGGTGGTGGTAAGTGTTGCAGTGAAGACTTGCACAGAAAGAGTGGGCAGCACTTTGAATGGGCCACAACCACCAGATATCACTCTGCCATTCAATATGGGCACATTGTTCACCCAATTCTCCTCAAACCATTCATTCAATTATATCCACAAAAATTCTTCACAGAAGTAACAAGGACAAGCTTTGTCTTTATTCTCAGAGCATAAAAGCCAAAGTAAAATTCGTACTAGTTGGATTTTCCACAAACAGACAAGCAAAACAGACTCACTTTGCTGCTACAAAGCAAAATTCAAATATCTACCAAAAATAACTAAGCATTCATTGTAGAGATTGTGCACAAAAAACAAAAAGGAATATATCTATCAAGTAAAAGTTCAACTACACTAAGACCTCGTTTGGGAACATGTTAATTTAGTAACTTTTTGACTATTTGACTAAAAAGGTAGGTAAAAAAAACTTGTATGTTTGGGATGACTTTTTGGCTAATTACGAAAAGATGTGCAAAAAGTAGAGAGAAAAGAGAATCTTTGACTTTTTGGTATAAGTTGTTAGCTTTTTGGCTAATTTAATAACTTTTTAGCTAATTGACTAAAAAGATAAGTCCCCAAACAGGGCCTAAGTCTGTTTGAATTTAAGATAAAATTTACATTAAAGAAAAGAGAGATGAGAAAACAAATGAAACAAAAAAAAATTATAGGTTGCGTTTGGTTGTGTTTTGTAAATGTGATTTGAGAGTATGAATTGTATTTTGAATTTGTGTGTTGTAAAATTATGATTTGAGTGTAGAAAATTTGTTTGGTAAAGAGTTTTGAAAATAGTTTTGGAAAAGATGTTTGATTTGAGTGGGGAATTGTTGATGTGATATTTGATATGTGATACAAAAATTTACAACTCATAACTAAATATACAACTCAAAATTATTTTAAAGCACATTAAAAATTAAAAAAATTTCAGAAATTTTTTTTTCCAATTATATAAATCAATTGCAAAAAAAAAAAAAAAAAAAAAAAAATTCCTGTACAGCAGAGGACATCCAGGTGGATGTCCCCATGGACGTCCGGGCGGTAGTCCCTAAGGACGTCCGGGTGGTCTTCCCCTGGCCAAAATTTGAACAAAAAATGCGGCTGTAATACAAAGCTCTCTGCAGAAGTTTGGAAAGTTGATTCCAAACACACAACCAAACATCATACTGAAATACACATGTGGAATTACATTTTGAATTCACAACCAAACAGAGCCTAATTTTTCCATAAACCTTTGAGCATGGCTATTTTCACCCGAAGGCCATGTAAAACCGACCAATGTGACATTTTCCCCATTGGCTAATAATTGAGCCCATCAAAACACTCTTCAATAGGTATTCACCACATTGGTTGACTTCATCTTAGGTTTTGATCTGATAATTATTTTCCTTAATCTTTTTCTTTTCGCTTCACAAATGGTTTCACAAATTTAAAATCCAAACACAAACACAATATAAGAGATTATTACTATAGAACAAGAAATGGGTCATTACTACTACTTCAAGTAAAGTTCAAGCAATCTACCAAGAACCATGTGCAAGAGTTATTGTCCAGATAGATGTGAAAACACTAAAGAAATAACATAATTGCTAACAAACACGTAAATGGGCAACTATTGTTGCTTCATGTATCATTCAAGCAATCCACCAAGTGAGCTATGTGCATTAATTATTGCCCAATATATATATAGAGAGAGCATAAAAAAAAGCTTTAGTCATAATTATTCACAGTAACTGTAACTCATTAACCTGAGACTGAAACTCCAGAGGAGAAACAGAATTTACAACATGGAGGTTCACACAAGATATGTGAGCCGCATATGCTGATTGTAGTGCAAGAAGATGTAGAATTTACATAATTTTGAGGGACCTGATCATGCCGTATGGGTAAGATTGACAGCCCGATTCAGTCTACCAAGAATACCACTGGCCTTCCTCTTTGCCCTAGAAGTCCCATTTTGAGCAAGCTGAGAGATTGTTTTATAAGTATTCTCTTCCTCTCTCATCTCCTTCCACTTGGTTCGATCGCTAAAACAAATGCTGTGGAGGATCGCAATGCAATTCTCCTTGTTACGGCCACAAGCACTCTCCCTAATTATACTAAACAGACAAGGAACAGCTCCAAGATCTCCCATTTCCTCAACAGCCTTTGGATTGCTTGAAAGCATCGAAAGGATAGCCAACAATTCATCAACATGCAAACAATTCATAATCTTCTTTACGATCACTCTAACTGCACCATCCCTCACAGCTCTCACCTTGTTCTCATGGATGATACATAGGTTAAAAATAGCAGATGCAACATCCTTCATAGCTAGTGGATGCCCTTCTTCTAAAAGGTCGATTAGAGGTTTCAAAGCACCAGATTTTCCAATCAATGCCTTATTGGAGTCCAGTGCTGACAATGTGAATAGGGCTGCAGCTGCATTGCTCCTAGTTTCTATAGTTCCGCATCTCAATGCATCCATGAGAAGAGGAATAGCCATTGGGGTCTCCGCAACAAACTTCTTGTTGTTGTCGTGGATTGAAAGATTCAAAAGTGTTGTGATTAAGTCTTCTTGAAGATCTAAGTGAATTTCATCACTCTGAGACCGGCTTTGTGAGAGGGGATTGAGCAGTTGAGGTATTGAATCAAGAGACTCGCCAAAAAGTGCCCGGAAAGAAGGCATTCTCTTTGTCAACAACCGCAATTCTCTTGCAGCTTCTTTCTGATCGGACAGTGTTGAAGACATCTTCTCAAGCAAAGAAAGAAAATGGTCCCGGTCCGCTTCTGTTAACCCATCCTCATTGGAATCTTGAACAGGGTCTGGTAATTGGATCCCATGACTCTTACACCATTGTGATATCATTTCCCGAACCAAAAGATTAGGCGTTAGGAGGGTATGGGAAAGGACTTGCTGGGTTTGAGGGCACGTTCGGTTCCCCCCTTTTAACCATCTCTGGATAAAGGGTCTATCATAAGTCTGTAAAATCCATGGAAAAACAAGTTAGCAAGGCCAAACCAATCGATGATGACAACAAAGATATTCAAGGTATGCAGAAACAGACGGAAAATACAGGCCAATACACCATTTTGAGTTAATAATCGACAATTTTAGAATGTCAAAATATACATGCCTACAATTTAATCAGAACTTATTCAGTAGAGTCAGGAAACTAATTTTTTGCAAAAGATAGTACTCTTTTTGTTTTTCATCTCCATGATTGAAGATTAGAGGGTATTATGGGAAAAGGGTTGATCACAAAACTGTATAATAAGAGAAAAGAAGAAAAGATAAGACAAAAACATTAAAGTTCCAACATTCCCAATTGCAGAGAAGATTTTTCAAAAAGAAACAAAAATAAATAAATAAATAAATAAGAAGAACAGTGCAATAAGAACTAATCAACACAGGTAGATAAAAACAAAAACAGTACAAAAAGAATGTCAAAATTCGCACCAAACAAAAGAATTACCACTTTGAAATTCATAAATCACATCGAGAACACTGCAATTTCACCAACAACCAAAATCAAATTCACATTAAAAAAAAAAAGGGAAAAAAAATATATCAATCTCTTGGGACACAAAAAATGCATGTAAAAATCAGTAAAAAAAAAAAAAAAACGAGACAATTAGCAAAAGAAACAATCCCTAATTGGAAGAGCAGTACCTGACCGGTGGCCACAACAACAGGATCTCTCATGAGTTCCTTGGAAAGAGGGCAGAGAAACTGATGCGGACAAGCCAAGGAGTCGTGCAATTTCAAAGAGACTGGTCTCTTGGACTTCAATTCCTTCAATGCACAGAGCGTCTGGGTGGCTCGATCGATTTTGTTGACATTGAAATGGTAGTCATCATCATCGTCCTCGTCTTGGTTGACAATTACATTGACAAGTCTCTGTAACTCTTTCTTCAACTCTGTCGCCTTCGCCACCATCGTTGGATCCCCCTCGAAAACCCCAGTTTTCGCCATCAAAATTTGCTTAGATCTCCTTATCAAATTGGGAGAGTATTGTTGAAATACCCGTAAATGGGTACACAGAGAGACCAGTGTGCATGCCGTGTTTCATCTTTTTTCTTTCGGCTAATTCTACAATTTCTCACACTTCTTCTTCTTCTTCTCTCTTTCTCTCTCTCTATCTCTTTCTGTTTCTCTCTCTATAAATGTCACACGCAGCGGAGGAACATGATGGAGAATGATGAAGGGTCTACGTGTATTGTAGTACTAGTGTGAGTGTTGGGGACCCGCGTGGTCCATGATGTAGCCAATCACGGAATCCGTGGCCTAACAGCTGGCACCTTCGCCGTTGGAGCCAAAACCTTTGCTTATTATGCAAAGTTTTATTTATTTTTTTGTTTTTAATTTTTTATACATTGAAAGTATAATTGTAAATAAACCAAGTGAATGACGTCAAATTTATTTGTAGGGTGTTGAGTTGAAATTTTCTTAGGAATAGTTGTCCAAATGTTTTTAATTTTAAGGGTAAATTATAGTAAGCCTCCCTCATTTTTGAATTTGTATATGGTGACTTTTTTAATTATAAAAATTGTATAAATATATCTCTTTTGAATTGGTTCGGAGAAAATAAAAATAACACATTTTTATAGTTAAAGAAATTAAAATGTACGAATTCATAGATGAAAATGGTGAAGAGTCTGGATGTAAATAGCTCTAATTTTAACTAGTGGAAGGATGGTAATTAATTTTAAAATATAAGCTTTTATTAAATGTATTTTATGTTACCACAAATATATAGAATTTTGTACAAAAAGTAATTGTCACATATATTTTCATAAGTATAAATATTGTTATACTATATAAAAAAATATTTAATTTAGAATATAATTATATTTTTTTAATTTCTGATTTATTAAAAAATACATAATTATTTTTTGAAATTAAGTAATTATGCTTAGTTTTGCTTAAAATCTACCCAAAAATATCATGTAACTATAATACTCAAGCTGATAAATCACTTTATGCATGCTTAGATTGTATTTTATAAATTATTATAATAATCTATAAAAACATTTTTAATAGTTAAAACAATAATCAAATTTTGAAAGTTACCATACATTTTCATTTAACAAATATTTCTCTTCAGTTAATCCAAAAATGTACATTCAATGAATTACGTATATCAATGGATGTGTGTGGCCATAAAAAAAATTATATTAAATATTTTTGAAAATATTTATTTAGATTGAACGATTATTTCAAATTATTTAAATTATTTAAATCATCACCTAAACGCCCGAGCATAACTCCACCCACCACTTATGCGACACACTAAGTATGCGGACCACTTTTGCCTGGCCCAAACTTATGTTATGCTCTAAGTGTGTGAAATGTCTTCACATTGCTAGGTCGTAAGAGTTGGGTCATGATGGGCTTTGGCTAGCCCACCAGTTCGATGGAAATCTCTCTCTTAATTGTTCATTAATTTTGTCTGCTACGACAAGCATGATTAGAATTACACTTTTTTAATTCTGAGCTAACTTTACCCAGCCTGGTTTGGTCAAACTCAACTCCTAATCTGGGCAGCCAACGTTTTTTAGTACTTTTCAAGCTATTGGGCCACCAACTTCTCTGACAAAGTGTCGTGTCCGGGACACGTGACCTATTCTTGTTGGTTCCATATGCCTGTGACAGTCGTCCTGCACGATTCCCAAATTTGACATGATAGCGCCTTTTGCTCTCTCACTTACTCAAATGCTATACATACATATATATACTTCTTTGCATCTCTTCGTCTTCTCACTATTTCATAGCCAAACTAGAGAGATTTCGAGCCACTTTAAGCTATTTCAATTGATTTTCCTTCCATTTTCTAGATTGCAATCACCATTGAAGCCTACTGGACCACTTGGAAGTTGGTTTAACTCTGTAAAACATAAGTTCCCACCATCTTCTTTCTCTATTCTTCTTGTTTCGATGTTTAGGTTCTTGAACATCACCAGATTTCATGTCAAATGAGTGTTTGGCCGATTAATCCCTATTATAAATCGGTCAAAACACTCGTTCATGTAAAAATATTGTTTGTAGACTCTAAATATTGTAAAATAAGGTTGAGATTCAGATTTTAGGGTTCAACAAACATGAATCTATATTTGATTGGGCAACCTCGGGTTTCAAACATGAATTTGGATTTGACCAGGCAAAACTTGGGTTTCAAAACGTAACTAAGTTTAATCTTCAATCGTGCAAACTTTGAACTAGGTTTGACCAAGCACACCTTCAACATTCCGTCTCTAAGCGAATTTTAAACCGAGCAAACGTATTTAAATTCACCAAACACCGAGTAGAGGCACATCCACTTCACAACCGTGCAAACATAGGCAGATACCGTCTACTTATGAATTCATCTGGCGCTCTAGCTGAGTTCCAAGCAGATTACAACATCTCGGATAATGTAACAATGATTCTGACCAAGGGAAATGACCTTCCCTGGAACAACATTGATTATTGCCCCTTCAGTGTTGTTGTCCATCGTAAAAAGGGGCCTCCACTTCCCCGTCCAACCTCTAGTAACTGAGTTTCTCAGACAAATCGAGCTATGTCCCACCCAATTGTCCAATAACGCATTTCGTGTCAGCTAGATATAAACCTTGGGCTAGTTGAGGTATTTAACAAATACTCCTTAAGCCGCAGTAGTGATGGCACTACTTATTACCTTAAAATCAAAGGAACCACAATAGTGATGGGAATAATATTATATTTTTTTATTGTGTTAATTTCACTTAATTTTTTTAGAATATCAAATTCACTCTAAAAAATAGTATGTGTGATATATCTTTTGTTAATTTTGAAGAAAAACTAACCATGATACTTTAGTCCAACCACATGGAAACTTTCTAGTTGTATTTGAACCATAACGGAGCAAAATGCTCTGGTCTCAAACCACGAGAAGGTAAAATGAATTTTTCCCTTATATTATTAGAATTTGAGCCATTAAAAAAATTGAATTATGAATCATTTGGGTGTTTTAACAAATGTTTGAGTTTAAGCTATAAAAAGAAATTATATATGTTTTGCATATTTTTCATTTTGGTGTAAATATTTTGGGAAAACAAAAATACCAATAGGCAAACTATAGAAAATTATTTTGAAAATAAATTATTTCAAAAATATTGTTTAGTTGATCAATGCACAAAATAAATAAAAAAATCAAAGAAGAAAATTAAGATGAAACCAAATAAAAATAATGTCAAAAAAATTGAATAATTTTACTTCAAATATATTTTTAAAATTCATATATGTGATTTTTTATTTTTTATTTTTTATAAATGAAAGGTGTGATTTATGGTAGTTGAAAACTATAACCAAATTTATTAATAAGAAAATTTTAATTTGGCTGTAGGAAAAAAGCAACAAAATCATAATGCCTACTGCTACGTGTATTTTTAATAAAACAAATCACAAATTATTTATAATTGTGTTTGACCTTAAAACAAAAACAAATGTGATGTTAAATTTTTAAATTTTTCTGAAAAATCATTTTTCACTTAGGATTACATATTCAAATTTTTTTATACAAATTGTTTATTATCTATTTTAATTAGGGGTGGGCGCGGGTCGGTTGTGGCCACAAAACCTTCAATCCGCCATCCGTCCACCACATTGGCGGATTGGAGAAATCAATCCGCATCCGTCCGTTAATCCGGCAGATGTGGATTGAGCGGATTGGTGGTTTGGCGGATGGATGCAAATCGGTTTAGCGGTTTAAAATATTATAAATTTTCAACATAATTCAACTTGTGTACTTCCTCAAAAAAAAGAGAAGAAAGTATTACAATTAATAACTTAAAAAAATATTACAATCACTACATGTCTCATCTAAAGTTAGAAAGTTTGAAACTTTGGAATATCACAATCACTGCATGTCTCATCCACATACTGCAATAACAGCATGTCTCATCCATATAAAGTATTACAATTTGTGATTCTTAAAATATAAAAACAATTCAAACCACCAAAACCATGAACAGAGCAGTAGTAGAGATTGTATGTCTCTGTATTGTTACATCTATATCTGTTTTTGAAAACAAAAACCAATCATCATATATCATATTTTCTATTTATTATTTTTAAAAATAGATTTAAAAACCAAAAAATATGGATAAATAATACGTTTATTTTTTTCAATTCAAAAAAGATATTCAAGTTGAAATTTTTTTTTTCAATAGAATATTTAAACTCTTTTTTAATTGAAAACACAAACTGAATATTTAAACAAACTGAAAATACAAAGTTTTATAAATTACTAGGAGTGTTCGCGGTTTGGCGGTTCGGTTGCGGTCAAAGGAATTTCAAATCCGCCATTCGTCCGCCAGATTAGCGGATTGGAGAAAATCAATCTGCAACCGTCTGCTCGTTATCACGCATCCGTCCAAAATGCGGCAGATTGATTCTGTTCGGTCGGTTTTGGTGGATCGATATATCCGCTGCTCACCCCTAATTTTAATATTATTTTTTGTTTACTATGTATTTGAATTATTTGTGTGTAAACAAACTATAAGAAGGCTAAATGAGGTATTTTATTAAAGAAAAATGATTTGTCCCCTTAAAAAAGTCTCCCCTAATCCCCCTAATACCCAAAACGACGTCGTTTTGGGAGTTTTTTTTTTTTTTTTTTTTTTTTTTTTTTTTTTTTTTTTTGTCTTGGTTTGAAATTTAAGGGGATTAGGGGGCAAAAAATTAGAGAGACGTAGCATGACCTTTAATGTTGGATTTTAAGTGGATTAAATTTTAATGGGTTGATCTTATCGGTCATATAAAAGGTTCATAGGACTTACTTTTCATCTTCCTTGTTAGGGATTCATATATTGTAGTAGACATATTTATGAAAAAGCAACTTTTTGTTAAATAAGTAGAAAAAATATTACAAAAACTTAATTAATAAAAATAGGGTAAATTACACTTACACCCCTTGAAATTTGGATATAATATATATATCACTCTTTGATGTTTAGGAAATTAAACTAACTCCCTGTTATTGTAATTATTTAGACGGAATGAAGATATTTGACTCATGCACTCTCTTTTTTTACTTTGTTTTACTTTTTTTTTTTCCTTTTCTTTATTTTCTTTTTTAATGTAATTTTTTCTGTTTTTCTATTAGGAATTGTTACCTTTTATATAAGTAGAGGGTTTGTGAAATGAAACTATTAAC